CAACAATACAATCAAAGAAACCGAACTATACAAAATAAAATAAAATAAATTAGAATTTAAATTGTATAATAGAGAAATAATTGGGGAATAGAGGAATGACAGAGGAATAAGAGAGGAATAGTCGGGGAACAGAGGAATAGCGGAATTGAGGAATAGGGGAACAGCGGAATAGAGGAATAGCGACCGACCGACCGGAATACATTTTGAAACGTTCCCTAAGATGTTCATGCTTTGATTAAATATTATTTACAGCAGGAAAAAGCTGTTTATGATCATTACTTGATAAAAAAGTAATCGTGCATTATATACAAAAAACAGAAAAACTTGCAGCGTGCAAGAGGAAAAAAATAACTTTTTTTATTCTCTCTATACCTACCAGTATTATTTACAATAATCAATTTTTTCGTTGCGCACGGCTCATCCATATTATCTGGAGAGAGAGTGAGAATTAAAATAGATAAAAAAGCGAACATATCTAGGTCAACGAAAACTGATATTTAATAACTCATTCATGGGCTGTTTACTGTATGACTAAAAAAACTGACTTGTAATCAGTTTAAAACTCTTTAAAAACATCCTGTTGTTCTAGAGGTTTTCACTTCTTCGATTGACCATCCAAGTCGTTGAAATGTGTCTCGACAAGACAGTCTTTAGCTCTAAGACTGGTACGTGTGATGGTGCCACGGTCTAAGAAAGCAAAAATACTGAAAATCTGTAAATTCAGTTTTTGTGAGATTATTAATTTAAAAAAAAAACTGATTTGAAAAATAGGTCATTAGCGGACCATAATAGTGTAGCTCCGTCAATTCTAGAATCATGATTTTTGCATTAGTTGATTCATACATACTGAATTCAAGATAAAAGCGTCTATATATTTCTTAATTTATAATTAATAAACTTTTGCATGTACTGAACTTTTAAAGTTATATTAATACAGCAAAAATAAAAAATAACCTTAATGTATACATGAAAAAAGTTCATAAAAAGGAACGACCAAGAACGCGTTGTTGAAAAAGTATAACGCGTCCTGGAGATGCTTTTAGCGTTCTTTTGGAAAGCGTTTTCTTGTTAGTGACACTATAGTGTCGTTAAGATCTGTATTTTGACTATGTACAAGTGTGACTGTCAGTGAATAGCGATAGTTGTTTTCATGACGTTTATAAAAACGAAAATAGTGCCTGAAAGTCACACAAACTGGTTGAGAATATTATTCCCACTTTCTCTTCTGTCTCTTATGCACACTAACAAACAATAAGAAAATAATAAGATTCTTACCATTATTATTATTGTAATTATTATTATTACCATGATATAAACGATTTATATAACGAGGATATGCATATTCCAATCTGAAGAAGTCCAACCACAAGAAAGATCATCGAGAAAAAAATATAAGTATTATCTTTTTTACAACCTACAGTTCAGAATTTATATTATTATTGTTTTTATTATTCAACTCATAATGACGTTCTCGTTTCAATTCATTATAATCAACACATTGCGGTAAATTATTCTGAATTGATCCATTCTAACAACAAAAACAAAGAAAATGTTAGTTTCTAAATATCATTTTACTTTTCAAGTTCGTATTATACATTATTCTCAAATTTTCTTCTCATTGGTGGTCGGTGTATATGTTCTGCGGACTTTTGATGATTGTCCTATAACAATAACAAGAAAATAAACTATCATTGCTCAGAAGGTATAGTTACCTGAAATGTTTGTAAACGAACACGATTGCCTTTTGCCATACGTCTTCGACCATTCTAGAATTAAATAAATAAGTGACAATGATGTGTAACTAAATAAGATGAAATCACATCTTACATTTGGATGAACCATCGCACCAGCTTGTTCAGCTCGTTGACGATCTCTTTCTATTTCCTAAAAAAAGCTAGCAATATTAGCGTTTAACAAGATAAAGTTACAACGTAGTATGTAGACTAATAAATAATAATTTCCATTCTATATCAACACTCTAATGTACTCAAATTAGCTTTTATTATTATACGAAGAGAAAATCGATCAATATCGTTCGTTAACATATCTTCACCCATGAGGAAATTTTATCGACTTTTCACGCGTGAGGGACCGTGAAATGTCAGCTTGGACTTTCACGAAATTTTGTAGGTAAAGACAGCAAGTTCCACGACAGTTTGGTCGTGTTGTTGCAACATCACACGCGTGGCTACGCGTGAAAAATCTTCACACGTGTACACAAGTGAATAATCTTCA